AATCACTTAACTTAATCACTTAACTTCCCGTTAGTCGTCGATTTGCTCGAGCGGGCGCCAGTAACGTCTCCATTTGTCCCTGTCGCGTGCTAGTGTAGCCCAATGGCATCTCTTCGCTCCGGGAACATGGAGGGCCTCAAACCGATCGTTCATGACCTTGACAAAGAAGTCTGACCATCTGGTAGGTGGGCGGCCACGCGGTCTCTTGACATCCCGTGGAATCCAATCAGTAACAGCTCTAGTCCAACGGTCGTCTTTAAATCTCATTACGTGACCAGCCCATCTGATTTTCGACACCTTGGCAAATGAGACAGCGTCCCTGATCCTTGATCGTCGACGGATGTCAGAACTCCGGATTCGTTCTCTCATTTGAGTGAAACGTGATATTCCAAGCATAGCTCTTTCTATTCTTCTTTGGGAGACCTGAATGGCATTCTCATCTTGTTTGCGTAGGGCCCAGGTCTCTGAGGCATATGTTAATGCAGGAAGAACAGTGGAATCATCAGCCAAGCGGCACAAATGCTGGCCGACTTTGACCGTGAGTGTGGAAAGGTAGGACTACAGCTGAATCTTACGAAGACAATGTTTATGAGAAACAGCCTTGTTCCTGACGCCCCATTCGCTCTCAATGGAACGACCATCTCCGAATGCAACAGCTATGTGTACCTAGGTCGAGAGGTCAACATGACAAATGACCTGGCACCCGAGCTGCGCAGGAGGAAGAGAGCGGCTTGGAACACCTTCAAGAACGTCGAAGAAATAGCTAAGAGGACGAAGAACCTCCGGCTCCGGGCACATCTCTTTGATATACATAATATAAACATACATAGTATAAAATATATATAGTTTTTATTTCAGGTTCAGACCAAAGTGACTTGCCACCATAATCCAGGACTTTAAGTGGGAAAAATGCAAGTATTTGGAAAGGATAAGCAGCATGATGCCATTCAGTCTCAAGAGGAAAGGAAGAGAGTCTCCTCACTCTTCCTTTCTAGGTGTGTGAGCCCCGAACACACACACATCACCACGAACAGTGAAAAGACAATGGCACTGTGCTCACTGGAACAGCGAGTGCTCAGGTGAGGGAGCATAGATAGCAGGGGAATTCACCCTTTACTGCTCACTAACAAATGTTTGAAAACTCACAGTTGCCGTTCAGCCTACTTAGGCCCGTTATTGTTACTGTTACTGTTTTTGGCATATCGACTACGCCATGGGGAGCTTGCCAGGCTCTGCCGTGTGGGTGGGATATGCCATGCCATGCGGAGGACGAAGAACACATTTTTTTCGACTCCTCCATTCTTCCTGCACCAACATATGCCTCAGAGACCTGGGCCCTATGAAAACAGGATGAGAATGCTATTCGGCTCTCCCAAAGAGGAATCAAAAGAGCTATGCTTGGAGTATCACGCTTCACTCAAGTGAGAGAAGGAATTTGGAGTTCTGACCTCTGTCGACAATCGAGGATCAGGGATGCTGTCTCATTTGCCAAGGTGTCGAAAATCAGATGGGCTGGACACATAATGCAATTTGGAGATGACTGATGGACTAGAGCTGTTACCGACTGGATTCCACAGGACCTCAAAAGAATGCCTGGCCGCCCACCTACAAGATGGTCGGACTTTTCAATATAGTACTGGAAGTACTTGCAATAGCGGTTAGGCAAGAAAAAGATATTAAGGGCACCCAGATAGGAAAGGAAGAAATCAAGCTCTCACTATTCGCAGATGACATGACACTATACTTAGAGAACCCTAAAACCTCTACCAAGAAACTCCTAAAAACAATAGACTTATATAGTAAAGTTGCAGGCTATAAAATCAATACCCAAAAGTCCATGGCTTTCCTGTATGCAAATAATGATAAGAAAGTGACATAAAAAACAATCCCGTTCACAATTGTGCCCCAGAAAACCAAATACCTAGGAATCACCTTAACTAAGGTTGTAAAAGACCTGTACAAAGAAAACTACAAAACGCTACTTCAGGAAATAAAAGAGGACACGAGGAAATGGAAAAATGTCCCTGCTCATGGATAGGGAGAATTAACATTGTCAAAATGGCAATACTCCCCAAAGCATTGTACAAATTCAATGTGATCCCTATAACGATACTCATGACATTCTTCAGAGAAATGAAGCAAACACTCCTAAAATTCACATGGAACAATAAGCACCCACGAATAGCTAAAGCAATTTTTGGGAAAAAGAAAATGGGAGGAATCAACCTCCCCAACTTCAAACTCTACTACAAAGCAGTAATAATTAAAACAACATGGTACTGGAACAAAGACAGAGCTGCAGACCAATGGAACAGGGTTGAATATACTGACATCTCCCTCCAAACATATGATCATCTAATCTTTGGTAAGGGAGCAAGAAATGTGAAGCAGAGCAAGAAAAGCCTCTTTAACATTAATTGTGCTGGCAAAACTGGACAGCTACTTGCAAAAAAATGAGCTCTACCTAACACCATGTATGAAAGTAAAATCAAAATGGATTGAACAACATCAGTCCGGAATCCATAAGGTACATTGAAGACAAAGTTGGCAAAATCCCCCATGACATTGAAGCTAATGGTATCTTCAAAGATGACACACCACTGGCCAAGCAAGTGAAAGCAGAGACAGACAAATGGGACTATCTTAAACTAAGAAGCTTCTGCACCTCAAAAGAAACAGTGACCAAAATACAAAGACAGTCTACAGAACGGAAAATATTTGCCCAATATTTCCCAGATATTTGCCCAATACCCATCCGACAAGGGGTTGATATCAAGGACATACAAAGCACTGGTTGAACTCCACAAGAAGAAAACATCCAAACACCCCATCAAAAAATGGGGTGATAAAATGAACAGAAACTTTCTCAAAGAAGAAATCTGAATGGCAAAAAGGCACACGAGAAAATGCTCTACATCACTAATTATCAGGGAGATGCAGATCAAAACAACAATGAGATATCATCTCATACAACGGATACTGGCCCACATCCAAAAGAACGAAAGCAACCGGTGTTGGTGTGGATGGATGTGGTGAGAAAGGGACCCTCCTTAACTGCTGGTGGGAATGCCGACTGGTTCAGCCCTTTTGGAAAACAATATGAACAATTCTCAAAAAACTAGAAATTGAGCTCCCATTTGATTCAGTAATACCACTCCTGGGAATATATCTCAGAGAGGCAAAAAAGTACAGTTGAAATGACATCTGCACTTCTATGTTCATTGCTGCACTGTTCACAATAGCCAAAATCTGGAAAAAAAAAACCTGAGTGTCTGAGAACAGATGACTGGTTAAAGAAATTTAGGTACATCTACACAATGGAGTACTATGTAGCTGTTAGAAAAGATGAAGTCATGAAATTTACATACAAGTGGCACTACATGGAAAGTATATCATGCTTAGTGAAATGAGTCAGAAAGAGAGGGACAGACATAGAAAGATTGCATTCATCTGGAGAAAATAAATAACAAAATAGGAGACTAACATCCAAGAATAGTCGAGGTAAGTACCAGGAGGTTCACTCCATGACTTGGAGGCCAGCCGCACATGCTAGGGGAAAAAGGCAGCTCAGATAGAGAAGGGAACACCAAGCAAAGGGGTGTTGGGAGGATCCTCCCAGAATGGGAGATGCACGCTGAAAGTAGATTGTAGACTGAACATGATTGCCACTCAATGCCTCTTTTGTAAACCTCAGCAGCCAAAAGGAGAGAGAGAACAAAAGGGAATGCCCTGCCACAGAGACGGGATGGGATGGGGGATCTGGGGGTGTGGGAGGGATACTGAGATCATTGGTGGTGGAGAATGGGCACTGGTGGAAGGATGGGTACTCGATCATTGTATAACTGAAACCCAAGCACAAAACTTGTAAGTCTGCAACTGTACCGCATGGTGTTTTACTACTAAAATTTTTTTTAAATGTAAGGTAAAGGTAAAGGTAAAGGCCCTCCCGTTGATCGTCGATTTGCTTGAGCGGGCCCAGTAACGTCTCCATTGGAGACTTTGTTGTTACTGTGTCTGGCATATCGAATACTCTCGGTAGCTTGCCGGGCTCTCCGAGAGGGGCGGAGGAATCGAACTCGGGTCGGCCATGTTGGCCGCGTGTAAGGCGAACGCCCTACCCGCTGTGCTATATATTTTTAAATAATAATAATAAAAAAGATGGCTGCACTTCTTCAAGACCCTGAATGAATGGTTTGATGCTCTTTGTATTCCTGGAGTGAGCAGATGCCATTAGGCTACACGAGCACTCGACAGGGATGAATGGAGACTTTACTGGTGCCCACTTGAGCAAATCTATGAGCAACAGGATAACAAGGGATACAAGTGAAGCCTACTTAGGCAAATGAGAATTATCAGAAGGATTTATACCCAATAGTATACTAAAAAATCTGAAAAGAAACTTACCAGATGAAAGTAAATAAACAAAAAAATCAAGAAAATAAGGTGCACTTCATACTAACAGGGCTTTGAATCTTAATTAACTGTCCAAATTAAGAATAAAAATATTTTTAATTTTATGTGTTGATTTTTGGGCCACAAACGCTGGTGCTGAGAATTCACTCCTGGTGCTGCTCATATAAGTGCTAGGGATCGAACAATGATGGGAGGCCCTGGGCAGAGCAAGCACTCTACCTGCTCCAGGTAGGAACCTAAGATTTATGGGCACTGGTGGAGGGATGGGTACTTGATCATTGTATAATTGAAACCCAAGCACAAAAAATTATAAGTTTACAACTGTACCTCATAGTGTTTCACTAATAAAAATTAAAAAAAAAACTGGGGCTCAAGCGATAGCACAGCAGGTAGGGCGTTTGCCTTGCACGTGGCTGACCTGGGTTTGATTCCCAGCATCCCATATGGTCCCCTAAGCACTTCCAGGAGTAATTCCTGAGTGCAGAACCAGGAGTAACCCCTGAGCATCGCCAGGTGTGACCCAAAAAGAAAAAACATCTGAGCAAAGACAGTACAATAGTAAACAAAAAATGGTCAGCTTTATAAAATTACAGTAAATACAGGGCATCACTCATACAATTCTTAACAACGTAGGTACAATAATGATTTACTGAACTGGGATCTCTTGAAGCTTGAGTCGGGGTAGTAACTGTAGGCTCGGAATCTAGAAAATACAGATTAAGTTTATCAGCCTTATCAATGTACAACAATGAATCCTCCTTAACTTTTTAGTCTTAAAAACATGAGCTAGTGCTCAAAATAAAAAATACATACTACTTGAACTTTGTAATCCCCTGTAGTATAGAGAATTTAACCTGTATATCAATTTACATCAATATATTAAGAATGAACACAGAGGATTCTTCATCAGAACTTTGTTTTCCTAATGGTAAACCAAAACGTGAACTAAAAACAAGCCATAAAAATATGTTCAGGGGAAACGCACTTTCTTGGTAACACTCAAGTGTTATAATGCAAAATTCGTACCTTTTCCGTTTTGGCTCTGGGGACAGAGCAACTCTACTCAAGTATTCCTGGCTCTGTGCTTAGGAGTGATGACTCATGGTACTGCTGACCATACGGGTGACAGGGATAGAACATGCCTTAGTCACAGGCAAGGGAAGTGCCTTAGTTCCTTTTATTTGTTTGGCATTCCCTAGACATTATTCTTTAATACTAACACAGTTGTTTATGTATAAATTAATATCGATTACTTTGGTGTAGTTCTCTACAATTAGTCGTTAAAAAACCCGAGTATACAGGAATTTAGGTTACTGAAGTACAAAAAAATGCTCCGAATAATTTCTCCTCTTTCTATACGGTGCTTCATAATTCTGTCCTCTTACAGACACTACATTGTAAAGACATGAACTATATGATTATGACATGCTTTTGACCAACTATCTGCACAAAACGTTTCCAGAGGAATCACATGGTCTCCCACCGGGAACAGTTCAGCAAATACATGAACATAATTAAAACTTCAGTGATCAAATGTTTCATGTGCAACTGGACGCCATCAGTCCACCAAAGTCACCTCTCCTTCCTGCCAACCCCAACAGTCACCTAAGGTAAGTACCTGAGGGCTAACTGCAACTGCAGGAAGGCGTCCTGTCACATGACTACAGAAACAGAGAGAACCACCTGTTTCATACTGGAGCAAGCACTCATAGACCCCAACCCATGAGCCAGGCACAAGCTCTGCCCGTGCCCTGCTCTCTCTTATCTGCTGCACCAAAGGAAAGTCCGAGAGCAGCCCTCAAGGGGAGAGACTCCATCACCACCTCCAAAGCCTCAGGCAGGGAACCTGGCAGTCATCCCCAAAGACACTGTCCCTTCATTTCAGTAAAGGAGGATTTTCCCTGGCCTTTGGGTCCATGAAATCAATTCCGTTGAGAACAGAAAGGTGTGTACAGAGAAAGAGTGATGGTGTGAGGGGGTGGGAGGAATACACAGAAATGCAGGAAGTTTCTGGTGGCAGCACAACTTCCTGGGTGTAGTGGGAAAATGCTGTACAGGCTGTATTACAGGAATGAAACCCAGTTCAGGAGCTGGAGACAGCCTATAAAGGTGTCAGCAATGATCTTGAGCATGCATGAAAGAGCAAAGTGGATGACCCAGAAAACATGCCCATTAAATTCAGATGCCAGAACCTTCCTCCTCACTTGGACTGACTTTGGGGATGAACTTGGTGCTCATGTACTGAGCGAGGTGCCTTAAAGGCATCCTACCCAGCTCTGCTCCCTCTGAGGGAGAGAGCTTTGCGCTATTGGAGAGTGAATTAACTAGCACAGAAACTCATCTCAGCTAACCATTCTCATCTCAGAGAATCGCAAACAGAAAAATCACAACTCATGAGGTGGCATGTCCATAACCATTGGCATATGCAAGTCCAAAATGGACAAATGAGTGTAAGTCACAGGAATTTAAAGAACTATGGGTAGAAAACAATTGCTTAGAGTTAATTTTGTTAAATGGATGTTCAGTTCAGGAGATGTCAGTAATGGGAAACTAATCTATGAGAGCTGTACCAATGAGAGCCGTCCTCCAAGGCTGAACAGACTTGTTTAGGAGGACAGATGGCCCAACAGGAGCCATGGAGGAGGTTGAGATTCAAGCCCTGGCACTGGAGAGTCCCTGGAGCACTTCCCAGAGAGAAGGCAGAGCACTGACTCAAGAGAAACTCCTGAGCACTAAACATGGAAAAAATGTATGGAGCAAATTACTAATGACTGAATAGTGGTTTATTGGATTGGTGGTTTAGTACTAAAAGCAGTGAGCAATGGAAAGCATAACATTATCAATTAAAGGGATTAAGGATTCCTTCTCTCCACTGTATGAATTAAAACTTTCATAACAAACCTGTTTACTGAAAATTCCAATTCTGGAAAATGTTGCTGCTATCCATTTTTATCCATAGAAATGCAAATGTGATAAACTAATATGCTAATTCCTGATCTTTTGAAACTTCCAAAATCAGCACAGCACAATCCTATATAATTTTTAGGTCATAAATTTGTCTTAGGTTATCTGTCCAATACATGTAAAAGAAACACAAAACTGAGTTAATTAGTAAAATTCTCCCTTCTAATGTCACTGACACTCAAAATCAAAGCAATGGTCTTGATACCTGGAACACACGTTGGTAATTCAGGCTTCCACCTACTGTCAGCGTCACACCTGACTATGTCGCTGCCTTGTAGGACAAAACCTGGGAGGCAGTCAAATAAAACCGTTGTGTTGTAGTAAGATTTGTTTGGAATTATTGATCTTGGCAGTCCATTGGTTACCACTGGATATGGACATTTAACCACTGAAAAGTTGAAAAATTACAGAATGAACATAAATTGGTATCAACACAAGACAATAAACAGTTCAAAACAGTACAGTGAGAACAAGACTAGGAGAGTTACACAAAGTATACATTTGGGCATTCTGTACGCCCGTTACACGCAGGACAGTGAATCTGAGGTCCATCCCCACTTCGGCATAGATCAGGAGGTGTATTCTTCCACTTCAGGGATTTGCACAAGTTGTCTGCCCACTCTCAGCAAGACTATGAACAATTTACCGGTTGGAGATGGGGGTCTATGAGAACTGCTTGCTAGAAGTTCCCATGCATTTTTGGTAAACGTGCTTTCACTTTTTTTGACTGCTGAGTTATATGCGAAGGGTCGGGGTAACTTCACTGGGCAGTGCTCAGGGCTTATTCCTGTCTCTGCAATTGGGTTACTCCTGGCGGATGGGGGGATATATATGGGGTGCCATGCATAATACTGGGTTTCCATGTGCAAGGCAAGAACCCTACCTGCTGTACTATCATTAAGTCACATCCACGAATTATCTGTATACCCATGGCAAAAATCCTCTGGATCCACATAAGAACCTCATTCTGGAATCTCTGTCTCTTCATTGCTTTATAAGGCTCTTTTCTCCCTATTCCTCCAGGATGCTATACTATGATGACACGGGGTGGGGGTGGGGGGCTGTGTGCAGCCTCTAATTGTTTTTCAAAGTTTCTGACAATATTCTAGCTCTTTGTATAAGTGTATCAATTTATAATTAGGATTTTAATTTTGTTGTGTTTAATTTATAGATGATGCCAGAAGTGACATTTCTATCTTATGGAATTTTTCAATCCATGTTCATTGGACATCTCCAAGGTTTTCTTTAATATCCTTTATTAGCAGTATTAGCAGTTTTTACATTACAAGTCTTTCATGTGTATCTGATTTATATTGGGCATTTTATTTACATTGATTTATTTGAATTGTATTTTAACCAACTTCTTTAATATTTAACAAACGATAATCATTTAAAAGTTTATATTAAGTATTTCAGACAGTCATGAATAGTGTTAAAAATATCAATTTTCTGTGGTTTAATTCTAGGCAAGAGACCATTTGTGTGTGTTAAGTGTGTATTTTTCAAGGATTTGAATCTATAATTTTCTATAAAGATAACAGCATCATAGGTAAAAATAGATTTTAAATTCTTGTTTTTCGAGGGGGGCTTTGTTTTCTTCTAGGTAATAAAATTACATATGGTATCTCCATAGAAGTCAAAAATGAAGGAGGAAATAATGGAAGTACTATTACCTTTACACCGAGGAGGGGTGCCGGTCCAATCTCCATCACCAGAACAAATACGCCTGTTTGTCCCAATAAGGGAGTATTTATCTGGTCCAGCTGAAGGGTTGCAAGTGTAAGTCACAACTTCACCATATTCAAAAAATTCCTTGTGACTACTGGAGTACTTCCCATTTGGTATTTTCTCAGGTGGTCTACACAAGATCTCTTAGAAAGTGGGGAAGAAGGACATAAATAACAAGAACTAAAGTAAAAAGATGACTGTAGCATTAGAGTTCCATGAGCTTGATAAATACATTAGTGCTTAATAGCTATAAGCTAATTTTAAATCTAATATCCCTTTAGAAGATAGACACTAGAAGAAAATGTGATCCCTGAATTCAAATGACTGATGTAGAAAAGAACACTATGGAAAATACATCTATTTAAACAAATATAAAATATCTACATTGGGAGGTATCTTTGTTCATCTGCAAGGTCAGGTTAGGTCTGTCTCTACAAGAGGTGATGACAATTTAGAAAGAGAAACATGTTTGTGAGTAAAAACTGCGTTAAATGGAGTTTAGAAATTAGGTATAGTTTGTAAATATATCTGTATACTAAATTGGTGATTCACAAGATAGTTGGATATCTTGTTATTTTCTTTCAATTGTTGGACTCTTTCTTGTTACTGTAGCACTGTCCTTGCTTTTCATTGATTTGCTTGAGTGAGCACTAGTAACGTTTCCATTGTGAGACTTGCTGATACTGTTTTTTGGCATAGTGAAAACACCACAGGTAGCTTGCCAGGCTCTCCACTGCAGGCGGGATACTCTCGTAGTTTGCCGGGCTCTCTGACAGGGACAGAGGAATCGAACCCGGGTCAGCCACATGCAAGGCAAACGTCCTACCCGCTGTGCTATCACTCCAGCCCTTCTTGTTACTATCACCCTTAAAAGTATACAGTTAAATTTTCCAGAGAGTGACTCCAGATGTCTTCTGAGCCAGAAATGAGAAAGACTACACTGTAGAAACAGTAGATAAAGTTTATCTGGAAGGAATGAAAAGCAGAATTCATTATTCACATCTACTAAACCTTTGTTACCTTTTAGCTTCAAAAAGAAAAACTTAAGACTCTTACAAGTGACATTTTAGAGGAAACATGCAAAACACTTTTATCCTCAGGCATCTTGCTCTTCCTCAAAGTTGCCAATCTGTCCCCAAATCCAGCTAAGCTAGGTCAAAGCTTCTATGTCCCTGTATTAAAAAAATGTTCCTGAAACAGAAGACTTGCCCTGCATGAAGACTGCATGAGGTCTTTCTCATTGGGAAAGAAATGGTATAACAGCACTTGACTGTTTTTTGTTTAAAAAACTTAGGCATCATAAGTCACAATGTGATTTGCAGTTGAGTTTTAGGCATATGATTTTCCAACACCCATCTCATCACCATGTCAGCTTCCCCCTACTAATGTGTCTTTTTCCCTTCCAGACCTAACTGTCTCCTTGACAGGTACCTTTTAGGTTTGGTCATTGCAGTTTGGATCTCATACTTTCAGCTTTGTTAATTCTATGGTTAGCACTTGCCTCTCTCATTATTATTATTGTTGTTGTTGTTGTTGTTGTTGTTAGTGGTAGGGGGAGGTCTTTGCATTCTTTTTCTTTTTTTAATTGAATCACCATGATTCACAGTTACAAACTTTTTCATGATTGAGTTTCAGTCATGCAACGTTTCAACACCCATCCCTTCAGCAGTGTAGATTTCTGTCCACCAAAATCCCCAATTTCCCTCCTGCCCTGGACCCCTCCCCTCCCAAGTCTGCCTCTATGGCAGACACTTTTCTTCTCTATCTTCCTTTTACCCTTTTTCTTTTCAGGCACTGTGGTTTGCAATACTGTTACTGCAAGGGTATCATGAATATCATTTTACCTCCTTTAAGAACTCAGTTCTTGTCCAGAGTGAACATTTCCAACTATCATTGTCATGGTGGTCCCTTCTCTATCCTAACTGTACTCTCCTCTCTCTGCCACCACCCTTTCTGACAAGCTTTCTACCATGGGCCAGTACTCCTAGATCTCATTTATGTTGTCTTTGGATACTATTCTCATACTACCCACACTGGTTTTTTTTAAATAGCCTGTAAATACAATCATTCTATATCTGTCCCTCTCCCTCTGACTCATTTCAGTTAGCATAATACTCTCCATGTCTTTCTATGTATAAACAAATTTCATGATTTCCTTTTTTCTAGTGGCTGCATGATATATCATAGTTTCTTTATACAGTCATCTGTTCTTGGGCACTTGTGTTTTTTCCAGATTCTGGCCATTGTGAAGAGCATTGAAATGAACACAGGGGAACAGGTAAGTTTTCTGCATTGTTTTTGGATCTCTAAGGAATATTCCCAAGAGTGGTATTGCTGGATCATACGGAAGGTCAATCGTCCATATTGTTTAAAAAAAAAAAGGCTGAGCCAGTCAGCATTCCAACTAGAAATGAATGAGTCCCTTTCTCCTCACATCTGTGACAGCACAGGTTGTTCTTGTTCTTTTGAATGTTTATCAGTCTCTGTGGTGTTTGGTGATATCTTATTGTTCTTTTGCATCTCCCTGATGATTAGTGGTTTTTTTCATGTGCCTATTGGCCAATTGCAGTTTTTCCTTGAAGAACTTTCTTGTAAAGTTCTACAAGTGCCTTATATATCCTGGATATTAACCCCTTATCTTTGAGTTCTATCTTGGCATTAAAATCACCGACAATGATCTTGTAGAAGGTGTGGTCTTCTTTATAGAACTTCTCCAGCTCCATGTAGAACTTCTCAATTTCTTCTTCATAGTAATTGGATGTTGGTGCCTAGACAATGAAGATAGAAACTGCTGGCAGTGAGCCACATCTACTCAAGTGTATCATCTGATTCATGTTGTTAGGCATTCTAATGAATCAGTGCTCATGGACAAGTTCGTGTTGACAAGGACACTGACACCACCGACACTTCTGTCATCGCATGTTCCAAGGAACAGTTCTTCTCCAGTGTCAAAAATGCCCTCTCGTCTCCGTCAGGCCAATGATGTTGTACTTGATCTTTCGCGCTTGCACCATCAGGTCCTCGATGGATGCATCCGATGCCAGCATACGTGCATTGAAAGTACAGACAGTTTTGGTAGCCTAGTTTGGCCCTGAGATTTTATCAGCCTCTCCTTCCTCATTCTTCTTAACGCTGCCATATTGGGGACTCTTTCAGGCTCAGGGGAATGAGATCCATTGTATTTACTGTTTTCGGCATATCAAATACGCCATGGATAACTTGCCAGGCTCTGCCATGCAGGCAGGATACTCTCGGTAGCTTGCCGGGCTCTACGAGAGGGATAGAGGCTTTTAGGGTGGCTTCTAATCACCCTTGCACGTGTTTCCATGGTTCAAACCATATTTGAATCCCATCAAATATGGTGTGGTAATTTTGGAAGATGGGTATTAAGTGTCTTATAATGTGTCCAGAAAGCAGCCTGGAGCATGGCAGTGGCTGGGTAGTGGAGGTAGTGGAGTGATTTTAATGCCAAGATAGGATCGAGAAGATCAGTCAAAGAACTCCACATCAGGATCCATGGCCTAGAATGGAACGAACAGGGTGAGAGACTGTCTGAGTTCATCATATCGACCAAGACAATCCATGGTAACTCAGTTCCAGAAGGGCAAATCTAAATGTTGGACATGGGAGTCTCCGGGTGGACAGTTCCACAATGAAACTGACCACATCATATTCAATAGATGGTTTTGCTTGACTGATGTCGCTGTTGTCCCAAAATTCCAAATGGGATTGGACCACTGTCTCCTTCGTGAAAAATTCTACTTCACGGAGTGGGAAGAAAGGGCTGCAAAGTTTAAGAAGAGAACTCCCAGAACGACCACCAACTGGGAGCTCTTTGGCACTATTCCGGCAACATGGGAAGATGCCATCATTGACAACATTGACGAACAAGACGATTGACTAGTTCAGCACCTCCATGATTGTGCAAGGAATGCCGAGAGAGAGAAAGCCACAAAAAGCCTGTCTTCGAAAACTCTTGAGCTCTGTAGCTTGGCGTGAGCCTCGGGCAACCACAAGCGAATGTCCAAGCTCTCAAAGCAGTGCAGAGATGTGATAAAAGAAGACCTCAAAGAGAGAAGAGCAGCAGTGCTGGCTGGCTGATGTGGCAGAAGCTGGGAAAAGCATTCACAATGCCCGCCTTTCCTTCACCAACTACAAGACCAAGATGACTGCTCTCCGACATCCTGATGGATCTATCACATCTTACACAAGGGCAATGGAGAAGATTATCCATGACTTCTACTCAGATCTCTTCAATATCCAGGTCCACCTGTCCATATACCAAATTCCGCAGGATGGATATGTCATTCCCAATGTTCTCCCTTCCGAAATCCGACATGCCATTTAGTCAGTTAAAGAAGCGAACAGCCCAGACAAGGTCAGACCTGAACACCTGAAGAATCTGCCATCAGTACTCATCAATACACTGGCTTGACTCTTCACACGCTACCTGTCTGAATGCAAAGTTCTGTCCCAATTGAAATCAAGCAGGACTGTTCTACTCTACAAGAAGGGAGACATCCAAGACATTGGCAACTATCATCTGATCTGCCTGTTGTCTGTTATCTACAAGCTGTTCACTTGAGTCATCCTGAATAGGATTGGCAGAACCCTAGATGAAGGACAACCATACAAGGAAGACGGGTTCCGAAAAGGATTCAGCACGATCAACCATATCCACCCGGTAACCAAGTTCATTGAGGTTTCTCAGGAGTTCAAGATGACACTCTGTCTAATGTTCATTGATTTAAAGAAGGCCTTTGATTCTGTTGAGATGGAAGTGGTCATTGAAGCCCTAGCCAATCAGGGCATTCAAACTCAATACACCAGGATCCTCCGTGAACTGTATTACGGATTCACTACCAGAATCTCACCATTCTACAAGGAAGTGATCATTTATGTCAAGAGAGGGGTTCGGGAGGGTGATACCATTTCACCGAAACTCTTCAGTGCCACCCTCAAGAACATCATGCAGCCACTGAAATGGGAAGGAATGGAAGTGAAGATACACAGTCGGCAACTACACCACCTCCGCTTCACTGATGACATCGTTCTAATAACACCAAACATTAACCAAGTGGCACAAATGCTGGCCTACTTCGACCATGAGTGTGGAAAGTTCGGACTTCAGCTGAATCTCACGAAGACAATGTTTATGAGAAAAAGACTCATTCCTGACATTCCATTTGCTCTCAACAGAATGAACATCTCTGAATGCAACAGTTATGTGTATCTAGGTCCAGAACTCAACATAACGAATGACCTGGCACTTGAATTCTGCAGAAGGAAGAGAGTGGCTTGGAATGCCTTCAAGAGTGTCGAAGAAATAGCTAAGAGGATAAAGAACCTCCGGCTATGGGCACATCTCTTTGACTCCACCATTCTTCCTGCATTAACATACACCTGAGAGACCTGGGCCCTATGAAAACAGAATGAGAATGCTATTCGGGTCTCCCAAAGAGGAATCGAAAGAATTATGCTTGGGGTATCATGCTTCACTCTAGTGAGAGAAAGAATCCGGAGTTCCGACCTCCTTTGATGATCGAGAATCAGGGACACTGTCTTGTTTGCCAAGGCGTCAAAAATCAGACAGGCTGGACAGGGACACATAATGCGTTTTGGAGACGAGCAATGGACTAGAGCCATTACCAACTGGATTCCACGGGACATCAAAAGGTCGCGTGGCCATCCACCTACGAGATGGTCAGATGTCTTCGTCAAGACCCTGAATGATCGGTTTGAGGTTCTTAATGTTCCTGAAACAGACGCCATTGGGCTACACTGACACGGGACAGGGACAAATGGAGACGTTATTGGCACCCGCTAGAGCAAATCGATGAATAATGGGATATCAAGTGATCAAGTGATCAGTTGAGTGTTGGGTAAATAATTTTCCCCATTCTGTGAGCCATCTTTTTATCCTGGTCATCCTTTCCTTTGAGGTGTAGAAGCTTCTAGTTAATGTTGTCCATTTTGTTTATCTTTGCTTCCACTTGTCTGGTCAGTGGTGTTTCATCCTTGAAGATGCTTTTAGCTTCAATGTCATGGAGAGTTCTGACTAAATTTTCCTCCATGTACTTTATGGATTCAGGTCTCATACCAAGATCTTTAATCCATTTTTATTTTACTTTTGTTTATGGCAATGGAAAGCGGTCTGAGTTATTTCTTTTCTCATGTCATGGGCCTGTTTCCACAACATCATCAGTTTAAGAGATTTCCTTGCACTACTTAGTATTCTTTGTTTCTTTATTGAAGATTAGCGGATAATATACCTGAGGGCATGTCTCTGGATATTCAAGTCTATTCCTTTGATCTGAGAGTCTGTCTTTATTCTAATACCATATTGTTTTAATTAGTGCTTTATAGCACAGTTTGAATTTGGGGAAAGTGATGTCTCCTTCTTTTTTCCCCAAGGATTGCTTTAGCTATTCTGAGTGGTTCATTTTTCCACATGACTTTGATCTATTTCTTTGAAAAATAACATGGAATCGTATCCTTATAGTGATTACATTGAATCAGTACAATGATTTGGGGAAGTATTGCCATTTTGATGATACTAATTCTCCCAATCTAGGATCATGACATTTTCTCATGTCCTCTTTTATTATTGAAGAAGCAATTCATAGTTTTCTTTATACAGGTCTTTTACCACTTTAGTTAAGCTGATTCCAAGGCACTTTTTTTTTCTGGCACACAGCTGTGAGTAGGGCTTTAAGAATAAATCTTTCTGGGGCTGCAGCCATAGTACAATGGGTTAGGCATTTGCTTTGCATACGGCCAAATTGGGTTTGATTCCCGGCATCCCATATGGTCCCTGACACCAGCAGGAGTAATTCCTGGGTGCAGAGCCAGGAGTAACCCCTGTTTATCACTGGGTGTGACCGAAAAAGAAAAAAAAAGAATGTATCTCTCTACCATCATTATTTGTGTATAGGAGAGGTATGGAATTTTACACATTAATTTTGTAGACTGCCACCTAACTATACAAACCTATTATTTTTTGGAGGATTTTAGTAGAGTCTTTAGGAATTTTTAAATATAGCATCATAACATTTGCAAATAGTGAGAGCTTGACTTTTTTCTTCCCTATCTGGATGCATTTGATATCATTTTCTCACCTTATTGCTATGCAAGTACTTCCAGTACTATATTGAATAGAAGTGGAAAAAATGGGCAACTATGTCTTGTGCCTGATCTTAGGGGGAAGTCTTTTAGTTTTTCCTCAATGAGTATAATGTTTTCTGTGGGCTATGATAAAGGGTTTTGCCTATGTTGAGGAAATTTCCTTCAATTCCCATTTTATTGAATTTTTTAAAAATAATGAATGAATGGGTGCTGGATCTTGTCCAATGCTTTCTCTGCTTCCATTTAAAGATAATGTGATTTTTATTTTTTTCTTTCTGTGTATTATGTTCACTGACTTGCATATGTTAAGCCATATTGCATCTTCGAGATGAATCCTACTTGGTCATGGTATATGATCTTTTTGATGTATTGTTGGATCCTATTTGCTAATATTTTGTTGAGGATCTTTGCATTTGTGTTTATCAAGAATATACCTGTAATTCTCTTCTTTTTCCCCATCCCACACCCTCCCCCTACCTGTGGGGCAGATGATTTCCACATTACTCTCTCTCTACTTAGATCACATTCAATATTTTGACACCAGACCCACCATTATTATTTGAGATTTTACCCCAACACTCAGATCTGCTGAAAAGGCAACAGTAGACAATTTGTTTTCTATTGCTGGTTATGAATAACATATGATGTCACGTGGCTGGAGTAGTGGCTACGTGATTTTGAAATTCTAAAATTTTAACACTTAAATCTGGAGAGATTTCTGCCAAAACCTGCTGGGTTCCGAGATTTGCTCCTGAGTCTCTGGGATCATGGCTGTTAAGCAGCTTGATCAGGAGCCAGAGAGGCCGTTCGTGGGCGATGACTTGGGGTCTTGTTGGGGTGGGGAGGACAGGACCGGCTCCACCCCCATCTCGTGAGACCCAAGATGTCTTGTCACTGTGGGCCCAAACCTGACGTCCAATGGCTTCTGGAGGATGATGGCCACCAAGCTGCCAGGAGGAAACAGGAGGACGGACAACACCCTTCCCCCACTATAGTCGCCTGGCGACAGTAACCTGCTGCGTAGTCCAGACGCATTTCTGCCAAAAGCTGCTGGGTTTCAAGATTTGTTTCTGAGTCTCGGGATCATGGCCATTAAGCAGCTTGATCAGGAGCCAGAGGCCATTTGTGGGCGATGACTTGGGGTCTCGGGGTGGGGAGGACAGGACCGGCTCAACCCCGATCCCATGAGGCCCTGCGTGTCTCATCACTGTGGGCCCAAACTTGACTGTCCAGTGGCCTTTGTAGGATGGTGGCCACCGGGCCACCAGGGGGAACAGGCCAAGGCCCGAAACCTATTCCCACCTGGGTTTGCCCAGGACCGGTAACCTACTGCAGGGACCGGACGCATTTCTGCCAAAAGCCGCTGGGTTTCGAGATTTGTTTCTGAGTCTCTGGGATCATGGCCATTAAGCAGTTTAATCAAGAACCAGAGAGGTCATGCCTCCAATTATATAGCTGAGCCGGAGGTGGTTTGTGGGTGTGTTTCCCACATACCTAACTTTTGGCCGTTTACTTTCTTGGTAAACTTTGCCCCAAGTTTTTGGGGTCTGGCCAAAGGCACAGCAGCAATTTTGGGGTACCTGGAAATCTGAAGGCACCATTAGGCTGCTGATGCGCTCACCTCACAGGTACAGATTGACCTGCTGGCAGCACCATACCCCCAGTTGTTCAATTATTTTGAGGCTTTCCCCCATCTTCTGTTTTTGTCTGGAGGTTTTCTGCACTTCACCTTTGAGCTCACTGATTCTGTTCTCAGCAGTCATTAGTTTTTTCCTTATTTCTGCTTTCATATCATCTTGCGTTTGATTGTTAGTACATGCCAGGTTTTTTTTTTAAATTTTTAATAGTGAGACATCATGAGGTACAGTTGCAGACTTACATATTTTTGTGCTTGGGTTTCAATTATACAATGATCAAATACCCATCCCTCCACCAGTGCCCATTGCCCACCACCACAGATCCCAGTATCCCTTCCACCCCCCATCCCCCCCATCCCACCCTGCCTCTGTGGCAGTGCATTCCCTTTTGTTCTCTCTTATTGGGTGTTGTGTTTTGCAAAAGAAGCAATGGGTAATAATCATGTTTGGTCTATAGTCTACTTTCAGCATGCTTCTCCCATCCTGGGAGGATCCTCCCAACACCTTTATTTGGTGTTCCCTTCTCTATCTGAGCTCCCTTTTCCCCTAGCATGTGTGGTTGCATTCCAGTTTTTTTGATCTTCAAAAGCATTCTCAATATTTCCTCTCTAAATTCCTTGGTAGGTTATGTAGCTCATTATTACTGGTTGAGTCCATGGGCTACCACCTTCACTCACTAAAGCGGTGGAGTTCTGTGTTGCATTCACATTGTGACTTTCGCAGTCTATAGTTGTTCCTTGCTTGTTTTTGTGTGGCTAGGTAGCTAGAGTTAGGATGTTTTTGTTTGTGAGTTTTGGAAAGGAGAAGAAATGTGCGGCCACTATCTGTGGGTGCACGCTCAAGGGCAGAAGGTATCCAGATCTGCGGGCAAAATGGCAATACTAAGTAAAAACCAGTAACTCTAGTGTTGCTATGATTCCTCAGTTTCCTGGGACCAGGCCTGGGCAGAACTAAGTCCAGAAGGCTAGCAGCCTCCCCCTCCTTATCTAGTTCTCAGGTGGGGAAATTCTGAACTGGGGGCCAAAATGGTGATCCTAAATCACACTTCCCTTTCTGACACACAAGACAGTGGCTGAGAACATGTCAAGTAACCAACTAAAGAAAAGGTCATGGTCTATGGTATAACATTCCTAGGTCTAAAGGGGTATTGAAAAAACAAAGTACTGATTACTGCTCTAATATCTAAACAGAGACCAAACTTACTTTCACATAGTGGAGGCGCATCACTCCAGTCCACAGTGTTGCCAACTACATCACAGTAAAGAACTTCTGGTCCAATTAAGCGAAAACTAAGTAAGAAAAGAAAAAGTTACTATTATTTTTATATAGGTAACTGAGAAATAACATTTCATGTTGTCCTTCAATAGCAGTTTGAGAAACAGTCTTAGATATATGAGAACAGAGGTAAGGGAAGTACAATTTAATCCAGGAAAGAGCTGGTGTAAGTGAGGGCTCATGGTCCTGCAGCAGGGGCTATATCCATCTGTGCACATGGCCACAGCTGCCTCCACAGTTACATCACACTCACTGGGAGACCCCTTCCCTCACACCCTCCTCTCAGCAAGACTGCAGCTATGGTGAGACCAGGCCCTGTGATTGGCTGTCTATATTTGCTGCACCTGGGCAAGTCCCCTAACACTCTAGGGCTCAGCTTCCTGCACCAGATAGTGAGAGGACCGAATGCCAGGCCCGGGTGGGGAAGCTTCAGCTCTTGGCAGTCCTGTAGGTTGGAACATCCTTCTCGGAATCGCCCATGATACTGCTCTGGAATCTTCTTTGATGGTTTAGTCAGAGTTTCCTACTCCTGCTGGACAGACCCCCACTGCCAGAAATAAATTCTTGTCGACAGTTTTTCTTTGACAACTGTTCGTATATGCTGTATTTCTCAGTAAGGCTACAGCAACTTCAACAAGTCGACTTGTTAAACTTCTAGAAACCCTCAAAAAGCCTACATGTAGGCTCCCTCAGGAATGTAGGGAGGAGGTGCCAGTCTTCCACTTGGATATCTAAAAAAGACCTGCAACTGCCAGCACCTGCTTTTAGTTGACGTCTCCTGAGGTTCATGCATCTTCTTATGTTCCAGGTGAGGAGTGATTCTAGATCCAACCAAGAATCTGCTACCACCTCCATACAGTGGCAGAGGGCCAGGGACATACCGCAAGACTCCGAGATACTTACCTGGCATGAACAAAAACTCAAATTGGATCGCCATCACCACAAGTTCCCAAGCACCTCTAGGTGTAGCTCTGGAGGTCTCAGAGCACAGCTGGTCTGTAGCACTGAACCATCTGGACTAGTGAACTATTTCTGGGAATGCTGCTGTACCCTCTGAGCAATGCATGGGAGGCCACCAAAATTTAAAAACAAAAAGAAAAAGAAAATAGAAAAATTATGACTTCTAAGATCAATTGCACAAAGGAGAAAAATGATAGCAATGACACATGGCCCAGGATAAAGCTGGGACCGGATCAGAGCAGACTTAAGAAAATGCTTCAGATAAACCAGGATAATGCTAACCATGATCATAGACTGCAAGATTAAAAAAATCCCTAAAAAGTCAAAATTCCCCACCTTGGACTCAGCAAAGAACCACCTGGCCACACTAAAGATCTGTGAAGTTGAGGCCTGGAGTCACCCGGCTGGGCACCTAAGTATTCCCTGCCTCTGTCTCAGTATGGAGCCACTTGACTCCACCTAAGAGGGTTGTGTAAAGGTGACCTCTTGACAGTACTGCTGCGACTGCTGTCATGGAAAATACCTTTCTTGCAGTCCCACATGGAATACACCTTGGACTCTCATCTGAACTAATGCAGGAATAGTCTGGCAACCTCCATCCACACTAATAGTCAGTCAATCCTAGCTCCAAGCACCACTCTTAGAAAATCTGACAAAAGCAGCATGATCCAAAGCACAATCTGAGTAGGCAAAGGGTCAATGACATCAAACACCTCCCATAAGAGGTCAAAGAAACTACTATCAACAAATTGGATTGGAGACCACTGTCTGAGAACAAAGAGGGCACCAACCAACCTGTCCTCTAGATTGCTTCGCTTAGACAGCAGGGCCTGAATAGAGAAGCAGAAAGATTCCACCGCAGACTGCAACGGGACAGCAGGGAAACAGCGCAGAACCCCACTACACTTAGTGAACAAATAGCAGCCCCGATACTCAACCAGCACTAAGAGCCTAGCTAGCCTCTCTGATAATGCATTTATCAGGAAGTAGTGAGGGTGTTCACTGGCCTCAAAGAAACAGTACTATAGACAGCCAAGAAAACACAAGAAAGTGTGTGAAAAACAGAATCAGAGATGACAGAATTAAAGAAGTTGGTAGGTGAGGGGTTAAAGCAATACAACAGCGGGTAAAGTGCTGCATGGCTCCTGAACAAGCCAGAGTTACCTCCGTACCCTGAAAAGGTCCATGACATTGAACAAATTCAAAGCACTCTTTCGAAGTCCATAGAAATGAAGCTTATGATCTGAAACTCTGTATCAAGCACAGGAAACTGACATGTTTATAATGAACAGGACACAAGTGTACACATGGAGTGAAATATGGAAGTTCCACCTGCAGACATTAAAGGATTCTGAAGGCATCCGCAGCATCAAGTCAGAGTTGACAGTCTGGGGCACAGGGATGGGTCCTCTTCCAGAGTGGACTGGCCCAGGACCTCGGCTAAGACCATCTCTTACATGAGAGACACATGCTTTCAATCCCGATATTTAAAAACAGCCTATTTACACATAGGGAAAAACAGGCACATTCATTCTTTAGGGAAATTTAAGGACTTAAACTTCACACTTGAGGAAATTAATTTCTCCCACTGTAAGCCACATATCACAAGTTTTTAACCACTTTCAGAATTTCCTAATGAATCATATACACAGCAATGTAAGCACTTCAGTTATATCTTTCAATCTTGCCCCATCTTAGTAATTGAGTCAAGAAGGACCTTTGAGGATGGGGGTTGTTTCATTACTACTCAGCAATAACCATGAGCTATGGATCTGTAAGCTTCCATCGTTCGTCTGAATTATTTGGTCACTTGTTCTATCCCACGTGGAGGACGCCGGACTTACCCTTGATTGCATGAGAAGGTGATGGATGCACTATATAGAATGCCAGATGTTATAATGACATGACCGTTATTGATTTCTCCAGGGTTGGGACATGACTTTTCTAGAAGGGAATATGGATAACTTTTTTCACTTAATTATCAGGTACCTATAGACAATTCTATTTTCTGAGCTTTATGTTTCAATCCTTAGACATCCTACCTTAATTTCTTGATGTTTTAAAATAAAACCAAAAAGAATACATTGAAACATACATTTATTAATTTCATGTTACAGATGAATTAAATGTAAAATCATCAGGTAAATGAATATTCCTATGGCAAAGGAAGTTTACCCAAGATAAAAAATACTAAGATTCCAATAGTTGGAAATTACCTCAAAGCTGTGTGCAGTGGAAGGTAGTTAAGATAGAGGGTCCATTATGACAATATTAGTTGGAAATGATTACCCTGGACAAGAACTGAGTGTTGAGTGTAGGTAAAGGGATATACATGATAACCTTTCAGCGTCTGTATTGCAAACCCTAGTGCCTAGAATGCGAGAAAGAGAGAAGAGAAGTTCCTGCCATTGAGGCAGGTGGGAGTAAGGGGTGGGTTGGGGGTGGAAAGGAAACTGGGGACACAGTTCTGGGAAAATACACATGTGGAGGGATGGGTGTTGGAACACTGTATGACTGGAACCCAATCATGAACAGTTTTGTAATGCTCTCTCTAAAGGTGATTTAATAAAATAGAAAAGTTTTAAAAATTACTAACTTTCTTTCAAGAATAATTTAAATTAATGTGTATCGATAAAGCATGAAGGAAAGAAGAGATTTTCTCCAAACACCACAGATTTAAGGACATCCTTCTGTATGGTGCCTGCTTCTCACAGCTGAGGCCACAATACCCCGAGAGGAAATAGAACTCATTGAAGTCATCCTCACGTTTACAAAATTCAGCTGCTTTGGACCACTTCAAGTTTGGCAAGCAAGTGATTTTTTTGGAGAGCGATTCGACCCTCTGGAAACCTGGCCGGCAGTCGTACTCCACAACGGAGCCCACTGGAAAGTAGCTCTGCGTCCTGTAAGGCACTTGGATAGAGGCGAAGAGTAGTCTGGTTGGAGCATCACAGCTGCCTAAATGTGGCAACAAGGAACAAGGAAAACTAACTTTGTGAGCATCCAGGTGTCACTGCCTGGACCTCCACTTTCCACACTATTTCAGCTTTGTTTGGGGGCCATACCCATGTTCAGGGCTCACACCTGGATTTGCCTGGGGGTCACTCCTGGTCACTCCTGAGGACCATACCGGAGTGTCAGGAATTGAACCCAGTCAGCTGTGTGCAAGGCAAGACTATGCAAGACTGTGCAATAGCTGTATGCTTGTCTTTTGCTCCCTTTTGTAGAATCGTGGGATTAACTGTCCAGCGGGCCAGCAGCATGCACGTGGAGGTTCACACGTTCGCTCTCTGGTCCTGGTTGCTGCAGGCCAGTGAGGTGGAACTGGAACCAGCAGTCCTTGGCTGCCAGTTCAGACAATCAGACAATGAACCCATTTCAGCTGCTGGGGACAGTCCCAGGCAAGTCCTAGCACGGGGCAGCAGGGTCGGTGGACTCAGTGACCTGAGACCCCTGGGCTGGGAACTCAGGCAGCGAGAATGAAGTGAGAGTTCCAGCTCACACTCACGGACACAGCTCACCGTCTCAGACTCACACCGCTCTGAGAACCACAGCTCCCTGAGTACAGGCAGAGGAGCCCACGGTGTGAGGGGACCACTCACACAGCAGTCAGGGCGTGGCTAGCAGCTGGGCCACCGACCGGTGGGGATGTAGGGGTGCGGCTCTGCTTCAGAGCCGCTGACCTGGGAGGCCCGCCCCAGTGCACAGTCTGAGGGTCTGAGGGCACACTGCATGGACCACAGCTGAACTGGAAAACAGAGCACTTGCGATGGCTCAGCTCACAGCCTACCCGCCTGCTCTCAGAACCAGTTCCCAGGCCTGGAGTGTGCAGGGGCCAGCCCAGTCCTCTGTGTGTGCGCAGAGATCCAGAGAGCAAGGCTGGGAGGTAGGCACTGAGGCCCAGAGAACGGGAAGGGGCCTGCAGAGGCCCTGGCGAGGCCCCACTGAGGTGAACAGGCCCAGGCTCTGGTTCAAGGCGCCACACAGTTCGCACTCCCTCACGCACCACTGTTTACTCTCTGCCACTCACCTCAGGGCGAGAGTGTTAGGAAAAACCATTAATGAAGACTGGACCTATTCTGGGAACTGGGGCCGTCAATTAGCTGGAGGGTGGAGTGCCAAGGGGAAGCCCTGGGGCTTAATAAAGCCAGAAAGCTATCAATTACAGTCACCCTGAAGAGCCAGCGTTAACCCTGGCAAGACAGGCACGCTCCCTTATCGCAGCTTTCGAGCAGGGGGCCTTACGGTTGCAGAACTCTTGCAGCTTCAACCACTGGCCTTGTTCACAGAATGAAGTGTCCGACCGACCGGGTATCTTTACAAAGCCTGGGTTGCACGTGTATGTGATTCCGGTTCCCTCGGGGAAACTGCTCAGTCCCTCCAGGTCGGGCAGCGCGTTGGGCACCTCCGGGGGCAGGCCGCAGTCACCTGGGGAGCGAAGGGCAGAGCTAAAGGTCATCGGGCCCCCAGGGCAGGATCCTAGAGGGGCTGCAAGCCCAAGGTCCTCACGGCCGGCCAGGCAGGTCTGGACCCGGTGGAGTCTTGTGCGCGCAGGGCGCAGCTCGGGAGCCTGGTGTGGAGCTGGCCCGGGGCGGGCTCAGCACAGTGGCCCTGGCCCTTCTGAGCTGGGGTCACATCTTACAAGGGCCTGGAAGGGCCAATCCCCGCCCTTCTGTTCTGGTCCTGCGGGGTCAGTTGTGGCCGTGAGTAGTCAGAGGGCCCCTTAGGGCGCCAGCGGGGCCCCTGGGCTTCCCAGAGCCGGACATATCCTCCCGTCCTCCAGCCAAGAAAGCCGGACAGGTCACTGGCATGGACACGGGCGCCGCGGCCTGGGGAGCGCTGCCCTAGCAAGGAAGACTCGCACCTGGGACGCCTTTCCGGGACCCCTGCCCCGCGACCCCCACCCCGCCCACCGTCCTCCCGCCGAGCCTCCCACCCTGCCGCTGCCTCCGACCCCAGTTTGCCCGCGACCCCCAGCCTGTCTCCCCGCTCCCGCAGCTGAACCCCTCTCCTTGGGGCGCGCCCCTCACCGCCCGCGGCCGGCGGCCCCAGCAGCAGCGGCAGCAGCAGGACCAGCGCGGCCGGGGCGCGCGCGACCGGACGCATCGCGGGCAGCAGCGCCTACTGGGGGCGGCAGGAGCGGGGCGCCAGGCAGTGGGCTAGCGGGCGGGGTGGGCGGGCGGTGCTGACTCACAAGGGCTGGGCGGGGTCTCAGGGCAGGGGGCCAGGTGGCCGAGGGGCTGGGAACTCAGGTACTTGCTCTTTTGTTTATTTAGCACCAGCGATTCTCAGAGGCTGCTCCCAGGTCAGTGCTCAGGGGTCACTCGCACCGGGGGTCAGGGGCTCATGCAGTGCTGGGACAGAGCCCAGGAACTCAGGCCCTGTGAACTATCTCTCCCGCCCAAGAACTCGGCACTCCAGAAGGTGAAGACTAAGAGGATTCACTGAAACTGCAGATCAGAGAGATCATTTGCTCACACAGCAGAGCTCACTGTTTCTGCAGGACGACAGCTTTTCTGCTCACTGGTGGGGACCCAGAGCTCCCTGCGGGGCTTCGGACTGCTCCTCAACAAGTGCTCAGCTCTAGCATTTGCACCAAGCACCAGCTCAGGTGGGAAGGAGGAGGGTATCCAGAAGGCCCGGGTCAGTCGGGGTGAATGGCAGGCCTGGCTGTCCGCTGTGGGGAGGGTCCCCAGCAAGAGGGTCTGAGGGGGGGACATCTGGCCAGGCACCAGCTCCCGGAAGGTGGGCGGGGCCGTTCTGTGAATGGCCCTTATCTGCCTGGCAGAGCCAGAGCTGGGCGGGCAGGGCCTCTTCCCGGCGCACAGGGGGACCTAACTCCACTCAGGGAAGCACACGCAGAATCTCAGAAACTTGGTTTTCAGTTTGGGGGCAACGCCTGTGAGTGGTGGGGCTCACTCCTGACTGCACTGGGAGATCACTGCCGGCAGGCCCAGGGGCCATGAGCAGTGGGGGCAGGCCTGGTCCCGCTCACCAGGCCAATACGGTCCCTGCCGTGTGTGTCTGTAGCCAGCCTGGCAAGCGTCCCCTTGACACAGGCCTCTCCTGGGGCCTCCTCTCAGACTCTGTCCCGGCTCACGCGTCTGCCTGGGCTGGGCTCCTGCCTTCCCCTGGCACACCACAGCGCTGAGGCCTCTCTGCGCCCCAGGAGCCAGGCACTGAGGCACTGAAATCCCTGGGTACCACCCAGCTCCCCTTCCTCTCTCTTTGTGGTTCATCTGGATGTCCTGGAAGCCCACAAACCGACTCCCACCCTCCCGTGGGCGGTGGGCAGCACTCTGTCGGAGGTACCACGAGGCTCCCGGAGGGTCTGGTTCTCTTGGGGTGGGGGGGTCTGCCCAGAGCCGGGGTGCACCCCAGCCGCTTAGAGGCCAAGGCAGCCGCAGCTCGACAGCTTTGTTTTATTCCTGGTCCCTATGATCCTGCTGGCTGGGACGGTGATGTCTGCTGAGACCTCCGCTTGTCTCCTGTTCTGTTCCCAACTCTCGTGTTCTTTGGCAGACAGACCATTCCCCTTCACTTCCCACCTCCCAGCACTGGAGTCCCTCTGCATTTTCTCTGTTCGAACTAAGCCTCTTCACGGTCCTGGCAATAATTGGCACCTGTGTGATGTCACAGTCACCCGATGAGGTGACCAGACAGGGAACACAGTAGCCGAGTCCAGGTTTGAACCAGGTTCCAGCCTCAGCAGGTCGACTCCTGCCCTCTGCTTGCTCAGCTGAGTGGCTGTGCTGTTGGGGCTGAAAGCTCCCCGGAACGTCCTCCTGCTCCTCTGGCACCAGTGAGGTGTCTCAGAGGCAGAGAGCAGCCTCAGGCGCTGTGGAGACCACAGCCCACAGCTGGCTTTCAAGGAGAAGCAGGCTGTGATCACCCCGGGAGCAGATTTCAAGGTTCCCAAGTCTAGACCAGTCGGTGCATCTGGCACCGCTCAGAGAAAAACCAGAGTGCTGTCATCTGAGTATGGGTGATTCTTGCTGGGCCTCTTGCCACTCGTACTGGTCACTGACTTCACACTGGGTAAGGGTTACTCTGCGGGCCCTACTCTAAGGGGCTGAGGGCTGGGCACTCATTCCAACTTCTCTGTCAGGGCCAGCAGCCACCAGCCTGCTCAGTCACTGCTGGTGGCATGCTGCGATGTTGCCCTGAGCTCCAGGCATCCTGGCTCCAGGACATCCATGTCTACCTTGCCAGTCAGCTCCAGCGTAGCTGGACAGACCCAGAGGCAGCGCCCGAAGTACACGGCTGCGAAGGTATGTTGCGTGCTCCTGGCATCTGAGCACACCCAGGTCATCTCTGTGCTGTGCTGGCCCCCTGGGTCGTGATCAGCTGTTCCTCAGGACACCACCTAAGTGAAAATGACATTTTGTTGCCTTAATAAGGTTTTGAAGTTCAACTGTTATATCCCCACCAAGGAAGGGTTATTTTTAAACCGACTTCCCAAAAACTATTGCTCCTCCAAAGATGTTCATTTGGAAAAGTAGCCCACAGAGGTAATTCCCAGTCAAGGAAACAGAGTTCAAGCTACAAGATATTGCACTTATATGAAATGAACATTAGAAGGTGCTCAACTCTTCACGGATACTATACTTGGCTGAATTTCTTTGCTGACAAGCTCAGATTGCTGAGCTGGAGACAGAGCTCAATGGGCTGAGAGCATGGAGAGAGCAGGGGAGAACCTGGTTCAATCCCCGGCACTGCCTGGTCCCCAGAGCACTGCTGGGAGTCACGCTTGAGCACTGAGCTAGGAGTATCCCTGCAGATCATCAGGTGTGGGTCCCCATCCCACTAAAAGACAAACAATAAAACATACAAAGTATTATATACACCAGTATATTTGCAACAGAATATGAAATATTCTATGTAAATTGTTGTTTGAGAAACGTGAACATGATAAATTTTGCCTATAATCTGATTTTTTATTAGCATAAAAATAAATTTACAGTGGAAACAAGTTGAAACAAACCAAATTTTATTTGTCTGGAGAGGTTAGCTTAGTGGTTTTTTTTTTCTTTCTTGTTTTTATTTCCAGTGTTGAGTATGTGTTGGTGTTAAATCTAATATCTTTAACTTTAAAAGAAATCTTATTAGCGGAATTATGACCATGGTAGTGAAGTATTTGATTATTCTGGTTTGCAGTTTGCTTGAATATTGTGATTTGAATGTACATCTTAAAACCCTGGTTCTTGTGTGTTCAATAAGTGTGTGGATGCACGCACGTGTCTGGTGGCCACAAGCTGCTCCCCACTCTGGCCTGCTACTGCCCTGCCTATGGACACATGAAGGAGGGAACAGGCCACCAGGCTCCTTGGTGATCAGTCACAGTTTACTCCAATCTCTGTTCCCATTCCAGACTCACACTCCTCCCATCCCAGTCTCACACACTGCCCCCAATTCCAGAATCCCACTGCCCCGCATTCCCTCTCCCTGGACCCTGACTCACAGATTTTGTTCTGGAGACCATCCCCTGGAGTTGGGGGGGTCAAAAACACACATAGGTGAGGTATCACAATCAACATAGATAAAGCTCTTCCTTCTGGGGAAGCTTGTAGGACAAAATAGCATCCTGGTAGGAGATCCACCCAAGGGCGGAATTCCATCTAGGGGTGTATAACTTTCCTTTCCTTGGTCCAGATCCATTTAAACTGTCATCTAAATTTACTTAACAAGATTCCTATTCATTTTGTATGGATGCAGTAAGAGATTAAGCTTTCAGTGTGGCTCTCATGGGGACATATCCGTATAGATCCTCAGACCACAGTCCTCAGGCCAGATTAGTCCTTCCTAACCCCCTCAGGGTCCTTATCTAGTTACTTCTTTTTGAGTCATGACAGAGTTTGCCCATGACTGTGCTCTAATTACGAGTTCTATGACACTTGGCCTGACCTGTTTCAATGCCAGGGTAGATTATGGCTTGCCTTGGGTCCATTCAAGTGCCCTGTAGGGATTCTCCTTTTGGAGTGCTAGAAACTAAGGGCAACTGAAGCTTAAGTCAAGTAAATATGACAGATGCCTAGGAGTAAATATCATTCAGAATCAACTAACTCTCAAGTAACAAGAGCACAGCATTAACTGTCTTCCTGTGTCTACAAAAAGGACATTGCTCTAAAGTAAACAGAAAAGGACATAAAGGAAAGAGAAAAGCAATATTTCACTTGCAAATAAAAAATCCAGAATCCTCTGAGAAATCTGACTGAGTCACAGGGAAAATGAGTGATCAACAGATAGGGGAAGCAGAGCACCAGGGAGTGGTTGAAGATGAAAGCCAAAGAAATGGGAGTGCTTTGGGAACACTGTGATGTGTGTTACACAGTGAACCTAAACTCCTTGTGGTGTGGAGGAGAAAGGAAGGAGAAAGGATAAACAAACGTTAAACCTAAGATGTTTAGAATTATAAGCCAACAGTTCTGATATCTGGAAAATGTAAATGTAGACAGGAAGTAGATTATTAATGGCCTAAGGCTGAGATGGGACAGGAATTAACCATAAATGGGCAAAAGGGAACTTTTGGAGGTGGCAGAAAGCTCATAAAATTAGTGTAGTGATGGTACAATGCCAGAAAGTATTGAATTGCAGTTACAACCATTGAAGTCTATGGTGTATAAGTTATGCTTCAATCGCTCTCTCTCTTCTACACAATCAAATATCTGACACCGGTTCTCAGGGCTGGGTGGGTAATCGCAGTGGAACGCACGATTTGACAGAGCAGGGTCCTGGGTTCATTGCTTGGCACTACAAAAGTAAAATAAAACCAGCTTCTCTTCTTGAACTCCATGCATTTTGATTCCGTTTCACCCATATCTGTTTGCCCCACTCTAGTTTGAAAGTCTTCTGCAGAGAAGTTAAGCCAGGCCTATCTCAACACTGGGGGATCCTTGTCCAGAGTGTTTTCTTCAAGGACTCTTCTCCTGAGACCTGGTTCTCCAACACATTGTATCCCCTGAAGCTGCCAAAACTGCTGCCCACCTCTCTCCTCCTGCCATTACCCCCCGGGATGCCTTGGGCAGCAGGGGGTGCCTTCACTCTCTGAGGCTGGGGAGGGGATGCTTGCTCTGCCTCAGGAATGTCTGTGCACGAGGGACTGTGCT